CCAGGATCAGGAAACAGTCCTCCATAAAATGCGCAGCACTCATCTGAATATTTGGGTTGAAGTATTCTGGAACAGTGTTGTAAATACAACTTAACCACTGATTTCTAGTCGTGTCCTCTTTTGGAAGATCAAACAAAGTAGTTTCACTTTCACAATGAAACAGCGTCCCACACGGCGGGCTAGATCGAGCGGAGGCCGGCTTGAGTGAGCGGCGGCGAGCAGGCTTGCGGCAACCACATGTGGCGACCCCGGGCTGGACTCCGCTTCGTCCACAGTGAAAACCGATCCGGCGATCCACAGCGTGAAGTTGATGTATTTCCTCAGCGACCAGCACGGATCAGCTCTAGGCATGACGAAGCGGATATCATCCTCTTTTGGAAGACCAAACAAAGTAGTTTCGCTTTCACAAGGAAACACACAGCGCCTTCACGACATGGCAGCGGCGGCAACAACAATACTACAGCCAGAATAAAAGTTACGCCTTCTTTCTTTGCGTGAACATTTGGGCGGCGTTATGCAAATCTTCCCACATCGTGACGTAGACATGTGGGGGCGTGTTAGAATGAGGCGTTTTAGGTAGGTGTGGTTAACTTAACTTTTATAAAGAATATTTCTTTGGATTTGAGACCTTAGTCTTTGCAACTTTACAGATCTTCTTTATGCACCAAGCGCTTGTAACACTCCAAAGAGAAAGGAAAAATTGAAATCGCATCATATGACCCCTTTAATAGAGGAACATTATTGCAATTTGGAATTACTATTAAGAATATAATATATGTTTTGTTTGTTTTTACCAGTTTCCATAATGTAGACAGAGAGAATGCATATCTAAGTCGTTGATATAAATTTTTTAATTAAATAGCCTATAATAAATCAGTACATTAAAATAAAATAGATCAAATAAATCATGTGTATGAGTTCACATTCTGTTGGTTCATGCTTATTGGTGAAAGTGCGATACATTTCTCAAATGACAACAATCACTATGATTATAATTTTGAGGGAAAAAAATAACTCTTTATCAGTTTAACCATTATACAGGATGACAGTTTTCATTGACTAAAACTAGACTAAAATGCTCAGACATTTAGTCGACTAAAACTTGACTGAACAAAAACGACAAGTTTGACTAAATATACCTAAAAAGTACATTTGACACAGAACTAAAACTAAGACTAATTTAAAAGACAATGACTAAATTAGAAATGGCTGACGAAATTAACACTAAACAAATGCTCTTTTTGCAGTAAGGAGGAATATTTAAGGTCAAGTCATGACCCCAATTAGCTTTATTTTGGACTTCTTCAGAACACTCTTACTTAGTGATCGATCGATATTGATTTTTTTATAAGCGATACCAATTATTTATAACCGATATGCAGAACTGATATTTATTTACTATTATAAAGTAAATAAATGACTGAGTGAAGTAAGAACATACTTCACTTTGGTTTTTCCTCTTTTCAGTCATCTTTTTTTTTTTAAGTATTGAAAATTAGCAGTCTTTCATGTTAAATTTAATCTTCATATTACAACAATAAAAAACATTATTTATAAAAAGCATCAACAGCACAACAGCAACAACACTAATATTAACAATAAGCAAAATAAATGTAGAATGTCTAATGTTTTCAAATGGAGAAAATAAATAAAGGACAGGAGTCGTATCAACTTCATTTTAAACTACAGTTTTAGTAGGTTTATAAGCTGTTTAATAGCTACAGAGTCAAGAATATATCACTGGATAATGTTAATTCACTGAATAATATTCTCTGGAATATTGGAATATAACAAACAAAACATCTTATTTTATTGCATTTCTCAACTGGAATGTTATATCAGAATTATTAATAATGTTTTTGTCCTTCTATATTATGAAATGCCTGCTGACAGCGCAGTTTATCTATGCAGTTACACAGAACTATACTCAAACTGCGATCGCTCTCTGAGATAATAAATCATTCATTTCCATAGAGCTGTATTTATTTAGATGTTTATTAGCGAAACAATGGTTATATAGTAAATGTTAATAGAATTTAGGGTATTTTAAACAAGTGAATCTTGTTCAAATTTACATGCGGTGGCCGTGCTGGAGAATTTTTCTGAGCATCAACCCGGTGAGTAAACAGCCATATGAAACGAGACTTCACGAGACTAATGATGAGCAAATATACAACAGAGAGAGAACTAAACTTTTATTTCCAACATGCGCTCATTCATGGCTGTATTATTTTAACTCATGCAAAGTTACGTCTTTATTGGGAGAGGATCTTGACGGATTATCTACGTGACTCCAACTTCACGAGACTAATGATGAGCATAGACAACAGAGAGAGAATTCAATTCAGTGCTTTTATTTCCAACATGCGCTCATTCATGGTTGCATATTATTTAATTCAGGCAAAGTTACATCTTTATTGGGACAGGATTATTTTACATGAATCTGTGAGTTGGTCTCTATTTCTTAGAGCCAAGTTGCATAAACTACATATCCGGCATTTATATAAGCATCTAATTTGTGCATAAATGGCTGTTATGTTAAATAAAGTTTACTAACTACACGTATCAACTTCATTTTAAACTACAGTTTTAGTAGGTTTATAAGCTGTTTAATAGCTACAGAGTCAAGAATATATCACTGGATAATGTTAATTCACTGAATAATATTCTCTGGAATATTGGAATATAACAAACAAAACATCTTATTTTATTGCATTTCTCAACTGGAATGTTATATCAGAATTATTAATAATGTTTTTGTCCTTCTATATTATGAAATGCCTGCTGACAGCGCAGTTTATCTATGCAGTTACACAGAACTATACTCAAACTGCGATCGCTCTCTGAGATAATAAATCATTCATTTCCATAGAGCTGTATTTATTTAGATGTTTATTAGCGAAACAATGGTTATATAGTAAATGTTAATAGAATTTAGGGTATTTTAAACAAGTGAATCTTGTTCAAATTTACATGCGGTGGCCGTGCTGGAGAATTTTTCTGAGCATCAACCCGGTGAGTAAACAGCCATATGAAACGAGACTTCACGAGACTAATGATGAGCAAATATACAACAGAGAGAGAACTAAACTTTTATTTCCAACATGCGCTCATTCATGGCTGTATTATTTTAACTCATGCAAAGTTACGTCTTTATTGGGAGAGGATCTTGACGGATTATCTACGTGACTCCAACTTCACGAGACTAATGATGAGCATAGACAACAGAGAGAGAATTCAATTCAGTGCTTTTATTTCCAACATGCGCTCATTCATGGCTGCATATTATTTAATTCAGGCAAAGTTATGTCTTTATTGGGACAGGACTTGACGGATTATTTTACATGACTCCATGAGTTGGTCACTATTTCTTAGAGCCAAGCTGCATAAACTACATCATCATTTATGTAATTCATCTAATTTGTCCATAAATGGCTGTTATGTTAAATAAAGTTTACTAACTACAGCAAATCAAGTACCTGCATGGCGGCGTTTATCGGTGATTCCGATATTACAAAACCGATATCCGATTACAGTAAAATGCTTAAATATCAGGAAAAATATCGGTAAATCGATATATCCGTCGATCTCTACTATTAATCAGATGAGGCAAAAAGTGCCAAGATTATAAAACAGGTAAAAATAATTATAATAAATATTCCTGTGTTTTATTTGAACTTACAAATAACTTTAACAAACATCTGCCCTTTTTTTCAGTTCTTTGCTGCGAGGAATACTTACAGAAAATGGCTTCTGGGAACTTTAACTGAATAATCTATTGTGTTGTAAACACATTAAGAGTGAACTGAAGTATGTTTAGATTTTTACCTGTAAAGCTTTGATGATGGCTGAGGCTGTGAAACGCAGAGGTGAAAAAAGTACTTCAAGATACATTTCCTGTTAAAAGACAACAGTGTTTAAGACAGAGAATGTTTGACACATCAGTTTCAGCATTGACATTAGACGCGAACGCGCTTACCCGCGGGTCTTGGTCTTCACCAACGTGAACTTCCTCCTCTGGTGACGGCTGGACAAACACCTGGTTCCACATGCCTGTTGTGTTGCTAAATTTTTAAACAGAAATGGCAAATCAGGAAAACGCAGTAAATATGTATACATTAATACAGTTTTGTGTCACCATTCTGATTTCTTCTGATTTTGTGCATTTCAGAAATAAATAAATAAATCTAACATAAAAGAAAGACAAGCTGGGAAATCACAAAATACAGTTTTTAAATGATGAATGTTATTTATTGAAAAAAGTAAAATCTAATTTCAACTGGGCCTGTGTGAAAATGTATTTGCCCCTGCAGTTACTAATTCCCAAATCTATTAAACTGCATTCATAATGAAGTTTCAACTGAACCAGATGTAACAAGACCCGATTACTGCCAAAAAACTGTCACTGGGGCGTTTTTTTTTCTTCTGAGAGTGCACTATGTAAAAGGTGAATAAAATTACAGAAATTATAATAAGAAGGTGACTGGAATATAATACAGGGGTTAAAAAAAAAAAATCCTGAGCCTGAACTTTTTTCCAGGGGTTGGGGGTTGTGGGGGCGGACACATACACGGGGTTATTTGGCAAACAAACAAAAAAAAACATTATTTGAAAATGATTTTCCTTGAAATTAACTAGTAATGTATCTGCCCTTGCTTCACTGAATAATATTCTCTGGAATATTGGAATATAACAAACAAAACATCTTATTTTATTGCATTTCTCAACTGGAATGTTATATCAGAATTATTAATAATGTTTTTGTCCTTCTATATTATGAAATGCCTGCTGACAGCGCAGTTTATCTATGCAGTTACACAGAACTATACTCAAACTGCGATCGCTCGCGGAGATAATAAATCATTCATTTCCATAGAGCTGTATTTATTTAGATGTTTATTAGCGAAATAATGGTTATATAGTAAATGCTAATATAATTTAGGGTATTTTAAACAAGTGAATCATGTTAAAAGTTACATGCGGTGGCCGTGCTGGAGCATTTCCTGAGCATCAACCCGGTGAGTAAACAGCAATATGAAACGAGACTTCACGAGACTAATGATGAGCAAATATACAACAGAGAGAGAACTAAACTTTTATTTCCAACATGCGCTCATTCATGGCTGTATTATTTTAACTCATGCAAAGTTACGTCTTTATTGGGAGAGGATCTTGACGGATTATCTACGTGACTCCAACTTCACGAGACTAATGATGAGCATAGACAACAGAGAGAGAATTCAATTCAGTGCTTTTATTTCCAACATGCGCTCATTCATGGCTGTATTATTTTAACTCATGCAAAGTTACGTCTTTATTGGGAGAGGATCTTGACGGATTATCTACGTGACTCCAACTTCACGAGACTAATGATGAGCATAGACAACAGAGAGAGAATTCAATTCAGTGCTTTTATTTCCAACATGCGCTCATTCATGGTTGCATATTATTTAATTCAGGCAAAGTTACATCTTTATTGGGACAGGATTATTTTACATGAATCTGTGAGTTGGTCTCTATTTCTTAGAGCCAAGTTGCATAAACTACATATCCGGCATTTATATAAGCATCTAATTTGTGCATAAATGGCTGTTATGTTAAATAAAGTTTACTAACTACAGCAAATCAAGTACCTGCATGGCGGCGTTTATCGGTGATTCCGATATTACAAAACCGATATCCGATTACAGTAAAATGCTTAAATATCAGGAAAAATATCGGTAAATCGATATATCCGTCGATCTCTACTATTAATCAGATGAGGCAAAAAGTGCCAAGATTATAAAACAGGTAAAAATAATTATAATAAATATTCCTGTGTTTTATTTGAACTTACAAATAACTTTAACAAACATCTGCCCTTTTTTTCAGTTCTTTGCTGCGAGGAATACTTACAGAAAATGGCTTCTGGGAACTTTAACTGAATAATCTATTGTGTTGTAAACACATTAAGAGTGAACTGAAGTATGTTTAGATTTTTACCTGTAAAGCTTTGATGATGGCTGAGGCTGTGAAACGCAGAGGTGAAAAAAGTACTTCAAGATACATTTCCTGTTAAAAGACAACAGTGTTTAAGACAGAGAATGTTTGACACATCAGTTTCAGCATTGACATTAGACGCGAACGCGCTTACCCGCGGGTCTTGGTCTTCACCAACGTGAACTTCCTCCTCTGGTGACGGCTGGACAAACACCTGGTTCCACATGCCTGTTGTGTTGCTAAATTTTTAAACAGAAATGGCAAATCAGGAAAACGCAGTAAATATGTATACATTAATACAGTTTTGTGTCACCATTCTGATTTCTTCTGATTTTGTGCATTTCAGAAATAAATAAATAAATCTAACATAAAAGAAAGACAAGCTGGGAAATCACAAAATACAGTTTTTAAATGATGAATGTTATTTATTGAAAAAAGTAAAATCTAATTTCAACTGGGCCTGTGTGAAAATGTATTTGCCCCTGCAGTTACTAATTCCCAAATCTATTAAACTGCATTCATAATGAAGTTTCAACTGAACCAGATGTAACAAGACCCGATTACTGCCAAAAAACTGTCACTGGGGCGTTTTTTTTTCTTCTGAGAGTGCACTATGTAAAAGGTGAATAAAATTACAGAAATTATAATAAGAAGGTGACTGGAATATAATACAGGGGTTAAAAAAAAAAAAATCCTGAGCCTGAACTTTTTTCCAGGGGTTGGGGGTTGTGGGGGCGGACACATACACAGGGTTATTTGGCAAACAAACAAAAAAAAACATTATTTGAAAATGATTTTCCTTGAAATTAACTAGTAATGTATCTGCCCTTGCCATTAGCCCATGACAGGCTCAGACTACAGATTATGGTGGGATATTTGAAACCGCAATACCAAGAAAGGTTACTAACTACAATATGGTGCAAACACATGTAACATTTAGGATGCTTTTGATTTCAAGTTTTGCTGGTTAGCTTTGTCCTTGACAGGGTACAAGATGACCTACAATCTAAAACATGAAATTTCTGAAATTGCTTTGTTCAAAAGAAATACAGGAAAAATATCGGTAAATCGATATATCCGTCGATCTCTACTATTAATCAGATGAGGCAAAAAGTGCCAAGATTATAAAACAGGTAAAAATAATTATAATAAATATTCCTGTGTTTTATTTGAACTTACAAATAACTTTAACAAACATCTGCCCTTTTTTTCAGTTCTTTGCTGCGAGGAATACTTACAGAAAATGGCTTCTGGGAACTTTAACTGAATAATCTATTGTGTTGTAAACACATTAAGAGTGAACTGAAGTATGTTTAGATTTTTACCTGTAAAGCTTTGATGATGGCTGAGGCTGTGAAACGCAGAGGTGAAAAAAGTACTTCAAGATACATTTCCTGTTAAAAGACAACAGTGTTTAAGACAGAGAATGTTTGACACATCAGTTTCAGCATTGACATTAGACGCGAACGCGCTTACCCGCGGGTCTTGGTCTTCACCAACGTGAACTTCCTCCTCTGGTGACGGCTGGACAAACACCTGGTTCCACATGCCTGTTGTGTTGCTAAATTTTTAAACAGAAATGGCAAATCAGGAAAACGCAGTAAATATGTATACATTAATACAGTTTTGTGTCACCATTCTGATTTCTTCTGATTTTGTGCATTTCAGAAATAAATAAATAAATCTAACATAAAAGAAAGACAAGCTGGGAAATCACAAAATACAGTTTTTAAATGATGAATGTTATTTATTGAAAAAAGTAAAATCTAATTTCAACTGGGCCTGTGTGAAAATGTATTTGCCCCTGCAGTTACTAATTCCCAAATCTATTAAACTGCATTCATAATGAAGTTTCAACTGAACCAGATGTAACAAGACCCGATTACTGCCAAAAAACTGTCACTGGGGCGTTTTTTTTTCTTCTGAGAGTGCACTATGTAAAAGGTGAATAAAATTACAGAAATTATAATAAGAAGGTGACTGGAATATAATACAGGGGTTAAAAAAAAAAAAATCCTGAGCCTGAACTTTTTTCCAGGGGTTGGGGGTTGTGGGGGCGGACACATACACAGGGTTATTTGGCAAACAAACAAAAAAAAACATTATTTGAAAATGATTTTCCTTGAAATTAACTAGTAATGTATCTGCCCTTGCCATTAGCCCATGACAGGCTCAGACTACAGATTATGGTGGGATATTTGAAACCGCAATACCAAGAAAGGTTACTAACTACAATATGGTGCAAACACATGTAACATTTAGGATGCTTTTGATTTCAAGTTTTGCTGGTTAGCTTTGTCCTTGACAGGGTACAAGATGACCTACAATCTAAAACATGAAATTTCTGAAATTGCTTTGTTCAAAAGAAATAGTGGTAAATTAAATACTAGGAAATGAATATAAAATAGGAAATATACAAAGACAGTTTACTACAGAAATCTACAGTTCAGTTAACAACAACAAAAACATTAAAATGGTCCAAGAACTGGTAACTTAAACAGAGTTCGTACAGATACGGCGAAATAAAATTCCAGGACTTTCAAGGACTTGCACTACTTTTTTGGTTTTCAAGGACTAAAATCAGATCTCACTTAATCAATATTGTTATTATCTTTCAAATTCTAATAAATGAACTAATAAAACAAAATGGTACAAAGAATGGTACAAAATGATGCAAAGAATGCAATGACTGTGGCAACGTTAACTTTTGAAAAGATACTATGGCAAAGTTCCTTATTCAAACTTATTTTTTTCCCATGAATATATGATTGACCTGAAGAATGAGAGCTATATCATACACTTGGAAAATTACGAGCTTTATCACGCTCATAGACACTAGGGGTGTGACAATACACTTAGCTCACAAGGTGAGACAAAATACTTTAAGAATGTTTTAATACTTTAAGAAATTTTCAATGACAAAATATTTGTCTTTTAATCACAAAAAGTAAAACAATGCAGTTGTATTTTGAAATGTTTTAACTAATCTAGGGCTTAACTAATGATTATTTTGCTAATCGAGTAATCTACTGATTATTTTGACAAGTGAGTAATCTGACGTTTTTTAGTAATACAAATAGAACTGTGAAAAACAGGCTTTAATATGACTATATTTATATATAAAGTAATGATGAGGCAATAATAATTGGCCTCAAATAAGGTATCAAAACAAAGTATATGGTTTTATTGAACAACACTGTTAAATACATAATGTAATATGCCTATATTTATAACAAATACCTGCAGAGAGTGCCAATGGCCTGGTAAACGAAGTTTAAATCCATTTAATTTTAATATTTGGCCACATGCAAAGTCAGAAACTTTTATTTTGAAATCGCGATGTACAATACTTATAATGTACAATGCATGATGCACAATATTTAGAAATATGTTGATGTATTCTCCTGTGTTGGCATAGGTTTAAATGATTTACATTGCAAATCAAGTGAGTTTTCCCAGATGAACGTTAAGCAACCCAAACTCACCGCATATGCAGAGGAAGAGTTTAGCCCCTTTCACACATACAGTCTTCACTGGAAATTACCGTTAAGAGAACATGTGTGAACAGTACCTTTTCAAAAATACAGATAAATGCATTCTGGCAATCATATCGTTCTTATGGAGATGACATGATTACTCTGAGCTGTTTACAAAGCTTCGCTGCTTTTTAAATAGCTTTTCTATATAAATATGACGCTAGATGGAAATCTTTGACCATTGCGTCTCGCAGCTTTTTCAATGTGTCACGCTCGAGACCCAGGCTTCTTTTCCATTCATCAGCTGCGACTCTGCAATTGGATACTATTATGCGCGGCTCATGTTTATAAGAGCAAAAATTTCTGATTGGCTAGTAATGTTAGTTTGGTTGAGAGTGAAAGCTGTGTTCCTCTCATACATTGGTAGGCGAACTCATGAACTCGAACGTGATATCAACAAAAGTTTTTAAATGTAGGACGGCTATCTTTTTTTCCCGCAGCCAAACGCCGCATGTCGGAGGTCCGGCATGGTGCCGGAGAACTTTAAGCCCTGATAATAGTCTGGGAAGGGTTGCAAAGCTATTACAAAGACTCTTGGACTCCAAAGAACCACAGTGAGAGCCATTATCTCCAAATGGGAAAAAAACTTGGCCCAAAACTTCTGCAAATCTTAGCGAACCTTCCCAAGAACTGGCCGAAGGAACTGCAGGCCTCTCTTGCATCAAAGGTTCATGACTCTATCCGAAAGACAGTGACCAAAAACGGCATTCATTGAAATCACGGGAAAACCACTGTTAAACTGTTAGGACAACAGGGGTCCCGTTTTAACTGGTGAAAACCAAACAACAGATTTGTGTTGATGTGCTTGCCCCATTAACTGCTGCTTGCAGTTATAACTTATATGTTCTGTTTATTGTGTTTTGATATCTGTATAATATTTAAGACAATATTTGTATTTATAAGTTAATTTCTCCAGATGATTGGTTTCCAAATACAAACCTCAATAGTTTAAACTATAATCAAACTGTATTACTCACTGCTCAAAACTGATGTACTTCACCACAGTCTGGTTGTCATTATCCAGCCAAACAGCCCAAATATCAGTCGCAGTCAAGACAAAATCCACTAGTGTCTCCTGTTCCACACAAACACACATACTTGTGAGTATACTTCCAACAGTTGAAGTACTCTACGTTTACTGTACGGATCTCTACCTGTGTTGTGAACAGTGTTGAGATGTGATCCAGGCTGTAGCGATTGTTCTCACTGGCCACCAGCTGCAGCACACAGAACTGACTGCGTTTGGGCACTGCGAGGTAGATGGCGAGACACAGGCCGATGGATGAGGAGAAGAAGAGACGGAGCTTATGAGCCAGTGCTGGAGAAGCCTTCACCTCCCCACGACCCGCGGGCATATACTCCAACATATCAGTCACCAACAGACACATCTGATGCTAAAAGACAAACAATTAATACATCAGTGTGAGCGGCATGCAATTATAAAAATGACATCTTGATCAAATGAATTTATTTGTATATGCATCATCCTCTCCTGGAGCCAAACTGACCTTTAATGACCACATGCGCAGCTTATGATCCTGACACAGTGCGAATATGAAAGTGTCATCTTCTAGCTGGTGGACAGCCAGACTGATGGCCAGGTCAGGAATGCTCTGATCTCCCCTGTGCATGGATGCTCTGTTTAAACCACGTTTTTGCTCTGCTCATAAATGTAAACTTTATGCAAAAGAAATAAAATACCTGATGGCGGTGGGCATCCAGCCGGCCAACCGCTGCATCATTGAACTCTGTTTCAACTCCAAAATGGACACAGTCCCTTCATAACAGAAAGTGGAATCATTATTTTCTATAAACACAGGTATCTGCTCATTAAAACTTGAAGGGTTAGTTCAGTCAAATATAAAAATTCTGTCATCATTTACTATCACGTTGCTCCAAACTCATACATAAGACTTCTGATCATCTTCAAAATGCGAATGAAAATATTAATAACATAACATTTCATTTGTGTATCCAATGAAAATCCACACAACCAAATTTTCATGAAAAAGTCCAAAAGGCCATTATGAATTAAGTGGTTTAATCTAAGCCTTCTGAAGGGACGCAATCATTTTATATGATGAACAGGCTTTTATTCATATATAAATATTGCTTAACACACACAGAGCTCATCATATATAGCAAAAAGCTAAACCAAACAACTTGACATCATGTGTTGTTGTGTTGATGTTCATGTGGTTAACATCATGTTGAGAAGACGCTGTGCACTACGCTGTGAAAGTATATTACAGCGAACAAGCGAACAAACTTTAACGATCCACAGACTACCAATGTATATAGAGCAAGAAAGACAGATAAAGATGACTATAGACAAACCATCTTGATCATGAGCAGGCAACGTGACAACAGTAATGGCGCCTGATGGTGAGGCGAGAGCGAACAGTGCCTCCCCCTGATGACTGATCCATCCGGCCGATGTAGACGGAGCAGTTGTCTGTGTTCCTTGTGCAAATGGGAGCACATAACTGTGGGCCGGTTCGTTTAAATTCAGCTTCCCAATGTCCGTGAAAATGGACTGCATTTGGAGTTCAGTGACCAGATCCTATAAAAGATGAATCTGTTAGGCCACACGGAGTATAGATCATATACAGAAGTAATACCGTTACATTCGTTATGTGTCAAAATTCATGCAAAAAAAAAAAAAAAAGAAACCTGTGATATTTTATAATACAACTGTTGTGCATAAATTCTATCTGCACCTGCAGGGAAAAAAACACATTTTGATTTAGTAGCAGTCAGGAACTGCCTATGAAAGCAAAGGTCCAGACGCTTACACTGCGGTACATGCGGGTGGGGTGCGGCAGCACCAGGCGATGAACCGACTGGCTGGTGACGATCAGAATAATGATGTTGTTAAGGGTCTCTTGAATACAAACTCCTCCGGGCAGCAAGAGGCAGTTTGGGATACGCAGGCGGACAGCATTATTCAGAAGATTAGTGTCCAGCGACTGCTCAACAAACTGAACCGTGTCACCTGAGGTGCACCTAGAAAATAAGAGACATGCTGAAGCATATATACTGAAAGTCAAGCAAACTTAATTCTCACAGCAGAGGAACTCAGTGATTTTGAACTCAGTCTAAAATGTGTTTAATGTATAAATGATTTCATATTTATAAACTTAACACCAAATTTATTCGGAACATACCAAATATCACATCAGGGTAGAAAACATGCATATTTTATAAGATTACAATTGTGACTGCTGTGATTGTAAAGTGTACATTACAGCATTTCATTTACATCTACTTCCACTGATATATCTCAGATACAGTGCATGTCAATTTTTCAACATCAATTACTGCAATTTAGGATTTAATACGGAATTTAAACATGGTTGTCACTTATCCAAATTATGAATGAATTATGTAAAAAAAAAAAGTGAGTAAAGTGCATTACTTTTATAATATAGAACCAATTATACTAGGGCATGCGATATTTAACGCGCATCTTCGTGCAGCCCTAAATTATACTGAAATTAATTGAATGAATTAGTACCGACTACTGAGATTATATTGTGACAACACTACATATACAGTGGTGTGAAAATGTATTTTAATAAATACTTTTAATAAATCTTTAAATGTCAATGCACTGTTTTATTGTTGTACGTAGTACTTGCAATACTTCTGAAGTAAATTAGAATGCATTACACCTGCTGAATACAGTACAGTGAAATCCTGTAAATACAGACTGATAAGGAAGATAAAAAAAATCAAACCTGCTATAAAACCCAGCAACACAACTGTAGCTGTATAACTTTACAAAAGCAACGCTGCTTTAACAAAAAAGCAAAACAGCAAGACCTATTTGACATCAAAACAAACATTTTAAATGCTGTCTAATCGCTCTCGCTGTACTTTGATGTTACACACAGAACGGTCTGTGCAGTGCTGCTTCAAGTCCAACACCTTTTGTGTTTTATTAGGAGACGCACAACAGTTCTTCTGCGGCTTTATACGTAATATTTTCACCTACACAATTTAGCAAAATCAGACAATATTGTTTGTAACGTATACCACAATATTAACTACTTATTATGGAACTGTTTGCAACTGGTCAATGTACAAAAAATGCTGGGAAATCTCTTCATGTAGCCCTACAAGAGTGATTACTGATAAACTGTCTGAAAAAAA